CTCTCTCTCTCTCATCCTCCCTCCTGCTTTTCAATTAGGTCATCAATTATGTTGGAGTCCGCTGTGAGCCGTAATCAAGCTGCAGATCCGCCTCAGCTGTTGCAGGAAGACCCGGCCCCTCCGCCGCTGCATCACCGTTTCTATGGGACCCGGAGAGCCAATGGTAATTTATCCCAAACCTCTACAATCAAATTAGCCTAGAATAACAAAATATTATTATGACTTTATAATATTTTTGTCGTAACCTTTCTTGTCGTTTTTTGTGTGTGTGTGTGTATGTATCTGTGGCTTCATTCACATCCAAAGAGGAAAATATAAAAGTACCCGCGTTTAACACAGAATAAATCTAGCAATAATATTCCAATAATCTTGGTGTTTCTGTGACACTTTACAAAATGCTCAAAGTAGGACTTTATACTGACAAAACATTACATTCTATTTATTTTACTTTATGTTTTTATTTCATCCTTAATAAAACAAAATTTAAGGGCTATTCTAAGGGTAATTTAAGGCCGTTTAATGTAGCACATTTTATTACAGATAAACGTGCTTTACATCAAAATGCATCCAGCATCATGGGTTTAAAGGATTACTATTGATAGGGTTATAATTTAATGTTGATGTAGCCTATAATATATGTCTAACTTACTTAAATTAGTGCTGAATTATTCTAGTATATCATGTATATATGAAATAAAGACGTATATCTGTAGTGCAATATATTGTGCAGCTATTGTAATTCATTTGAGAAGAGTTTCACCCTGATAATCTTAAGCCAGTTGTGATTTAACCCTTTTTTTATGCTTAAAGAAATATTGCAGCCACACACACACACACACACACACTGGATGACGGAGAGCTGCAAAGAACACATAATTCCTTTGACTGGGATTTGATTTGAGTTACTGAATTAATAAATGAATAATCTGATAAAGATGGTTTACAGAGATATACAATCTTTATTTGTGCCACTATACATGTAAACCAATACATTAAACAATAATATTAATAATAATAAATCATGCCTGTATGTGTTTTAATCATTTGGACCCAGGCCGATGTAAGAGTGGCGTGGGTGGAGAGGCGGCCTGTGTTGTGTACTGAGGCTCGGCCCTGGATGTGAGCCCAGCATGCAGTGCGTTTCCTCACAACAAGGCAGCTCTCAAAGGCCAGACAGTTTCCTGACTTTGTATAGGAACACAATCAGGCCTGCAGGGCAAGGAGGGGGGCGGCCGAGGGGACGGACGTATTCTCGCTGTACTTGTTCAGGGATTTGATCTAAAAATAGTGAAGCTCTACTGTGTTTTCACTGTGTTCCTGTACACACTGAACCCAAGTGGTAAGTATATATACATACATACATGTATATATAGAGAGAAAGAAAGAGCCAGTCAGTTGATGAGAGGAGATGCACAAACAGATATTAGAGCCAAGCTTCAGTGACAGACATGAAACAGTGAAAAGACTGTTAGTGACCTGTTATTGTATTTCAATGCAGCAGGAATTTTACAACTTGTAGATTAAAGCATTGATTACATTAATATTTTACATTATATTTTATAAAAATTCCTCCCATGAAATGAAATAAGAGCTGAAATGATTAAGGTCAATGAATCAGTTGATTGACAGAGAAATCATCCACAAACCACTCGCTATTTTGATAACCGATTATTAATTGAAGTAATTTTTCAAGAGAAAATACCAAACATTCATTGGTTTGAGCTTCTCAAATGAACATATTTGCTGCTTTTCTCCCTTTTATTTCATTATAAACTGAATATCTTTGGGATTTGGACTGTTGATCGGACAGAAACAAAACATTTTTACAACAAGATGAAGAAGAATTCTAGACCAAGTAAATAGCAGATTAATGAATTAATCAATGAGTAAAATTAATCTTTTTTTTGCAGCTGTATGTGAAATCACAGGTAATAGCAACTCAGATTGATTTAACCAATTTTAGAATGATACAGTCTAATAAATTTAATGAGGCAAAATCTTGTTCAATGTGAGAAATTATCAATAGAATTTAATTAAAAATGAACTTTGTATGTTTGTTTGTATGTTGAAGGGAAGCCTCTTTCAGGAGCCGGTGTGCTGGTGTTTGAATTAAAGCATTATAATCTGTTCCACAGGCTGAAATAAAGGTCAGTTGGGGGAAGATGATGATGTTGTTTTAACCGTTGATAATTGGGATGAATTGGATGGACTCCAGCTTTTATATTATCATTTGATTGTTTCATGTGAGTTTGTGTGGCAGCTTCTAGCACATTTGACATATTTTTCTTATGAGTTTTAAATTTCGTCATGTTTTATGTTCAAGCGTGTGATGTGTTTCACCTGGCTGCACTTTTCCCCATGGGGACAATAAAGTTGAAATTGTATGTGGTGCAGATCTACATTTTTATAAGATTAAACCAGAATATGTAGAACTCTCTGTACTGCCGTCAGTCGGCAGCTGTATTATACTTCAGTTTTGAAGATGTTAAGGAAAGACGTATATTACGCTCTGTTTAGTAACACTCACTGCCTATGAAATATTGACTGTGCTGTGAGTGTTCATTAATTTATTTAGCACGTACAGTTCGCACAGTCTGTACCACAAGGTCTTAATGCACAGGAGGCCACTATCTTTATATACTTCCTCCATAGATTCAGGACTATTACATCAAAACCTCATCCACTCTCCTTACTATCTACTAAACAAAGACATGCACATGATATAATAATAAAACTGCATCTCTCTCGGTTTTGTAAGGATGGGTGATATTTTCTTCATCAAGTTCATAATGATATGATCTTATCAAGTTATCCAAATGTCTTTTGTCCAGGTCGAAGCAATTAAAAACTGACAAAGTTGGAGCTTTTTAGCTTTTACTCATATAAAGAGTTTAATGTTTTGTAATGAATAACAGTGAAACACAGTCCATTGCTTTAAATATCAGCTTGATTTTTTAATAATTGCAGACATTTGTCATATTTGGATATAAGTAAATATTGTTATTAATATCTGGGTAATGATTTGAAACATTTTATCCAGCTCTATTTGCTGCATGTCTATCTTAATACTTGCCTGAAACAAAGGCAGATTATTCCCCTTGTTTGAAGACATGTTAAAGCAAAATATGTACATAAAAAATAGTTTTGTATCCTCTCTTATTTCTAACAAATGAGACGATTTATTAACTCACTAAAACTGTTTTTTGAAGCACATTTTCTTGGCAGCCTAAAAAAATTATTTTTGATGCCCTTGTTTTGTGTCTTGTCCTCTCTTCTTCCCACAGCTCTTTAATGCAGCTGTCTAAAATTCCTTAAAAATAATCAGCTTTTTCAAAACCGACGGAGCACTGACAGACAAACGGTTCAAAACTAAAATCACTGACCCTTTTATGCCCAAAGATGTCACAGCCAAAGATAGCTTTGCGTAGATGTACTGTGCAAACTATGTCTTATTTATACGTCTCTTCTGTTGGATTTAAAGGAATGTTTGTGACGTCGTTTGGAGCTAAATTCACTGACCTTCCCTCTAAGTGTTGGCATAAAGGCATTACATAAGTGAGGGCTGAAACTTTTATAGTTAAAATTATCAAGAGATGTTAATTTGTTTTAGATTACTTCAGAAGGTCGATGCCTTTTAGGACTCAAATTGCTGTGGCTTCTCATTAATTGAACAAACAGGAGAAGAGTTTTTTTTTTTAATGGACATGCTGGATGGATGTCTTCTGGCTTTAGATCACAACTAGTCCCACATGTCTTCAACATTCCTGTTGCCAGTTTGGACACATTTATTTAGATTAATTTAAAAAAAGAACATGTTAAGACGATCTGTTTTGACCGCATTTTAGACTGAGTGATAGGCTTAAGTTCAAAGAAAAAAAGACATGTATTTAAAAAAGGGCAGAAATTTTGGAAATAAAACAACTGATTGATTTCTAATGCCACCTTTTAGATGTTTCTATCCAATGCTTTAGTAATGTGGTGCAACAATGTAGTGTTTTTTAGGTCAGATATCTCCATTTGGATGCTTTTCTAAGCAAATACAGATATATGTGATTGTTTGCGATAAATATATATATATATATATATTTATACATCTCCATGCCACCCTAGAAGGTAGATTGCTAAAGATTGGACTAAATAGTGTCAGTTCAGGAAGCTGTCATGTCAATAATATTGCAGTAATATTCTTTTACAGACTCTATTTAAATTGATTTATTAGTATTAGATACAGTTGTCAGCCGTTCCCAACATCTTCGACCCCTTAATACAAAAAAAAAAAATCACATATGAATGCTTGTCACAGGTTGCAAATGTCCATGATCTGAGTCAAACAAGCTGTAGTGGAGTGGAAAACTGGATTTTAAGGAGTTAATAGGATTCTGCCTGTTACCAGAAAACAAAATGTTTCACTGAATTACCCGTCATTGTGTCCATCAGATTATTCAAACAGTTCAGGAGCATTAAATCAGATCCCCCCCTCCTCTCTCTCTTTCTACCCACAAACACCTGACAGAAACCGAGACTGTATAGCTCAGAAGCTCTGGATAAGCCTCATGTTTTATTTGCGAAAAGCGGCCCCATTGTCCCATAAGTCACCTCGCACAGCACTCTTCTGCTTCACGCCACACTGAGCCTGTCCTACTGTGTTAGCATCACCCGCTGCTAAAGCACTTAGCTTGTGTTCTCCGTGTCCTCTGTGGTACAGCCAAACATCCATTTGGAGGTCCTAGGAAACTTGGAAGCTTTTTCACCCACACACTGAGCGAGGGAGGCGTGGGACGCATTTGTGACGTTTCGTGAATACTTTGTCCAATAAATAGCCCTCTTCACGAATACATTAAAGCTAATGAAGGTCTGTCCTTTTCAGCCCAAACAACATG